CTCTGGCTGCTTCTGCCAGAAGTCAGTCTGATGAGAAAGCACTGTGTACCTGCTGTAGTAGTTAAAAGATACAACATTTGAACTATAGCTCTCTTTTGAGGATAATTCAAGTATTCAAAAATCCTACAAAATTTCTTTCAGCATAGAATTTTGTCATTCTCTTCCCCAGCTAATTCTGTACAAAGTTGTTTGCTGGAAAGTCAGTTGCTGTTGCTGACTGCATGTATTACTCATTTTTGTTTTTTTATATGTATTTATGTAGATCTGTATAGACATATGTATACACACAGGTGCAGGTGACTTTTTGAGCAGAGCTTCCACTATCATAACTTAAAGTATAAAGGACTTACCACAGCCTTTTAATTTGGTTATTATTTATGTAGATGTATCTGGCACGTGATGGGAATGACCACTATGTCCCAGGGTGTTCATGCAGGGAATGGCCAATGTGCTTGAAATTGTAGTATCTTTGTGGGACATTGCAAATTAAAACTATATTTGATAAACCAAATTAAGCCACTTCTTTTGCTGCTAATTTTTTAATCTGGTTTACATTAGTAGCTTCCCCTGGCAGTGACTCACATGGTGCAGTCACAGGTATGCAGTGACATTGAAGGTCTCTCATCGCTTTCATTCTCCTTCTCTTGCTACAAAAATGCCTTTTACAGGCCCGCCACCTGCCATGATCATCTCCTCCCTTGCACTGTGCTCACAGCAGCAGCAGCTGGGTGCTGAGCACGGAGCTGAGATGATGTGGTTGGGCAAAAGGTTGGAGCCATATCAAGCATAGGACTGAAAATTCCCAGGAGCTTCCTAATCTGAACAGATTCCTGTTCTTACATGCTTTCACTTCTGGCCAAAAGGACAAACCTGCTCAATCCCAGCCTGCAATTGCCATTTGCCATTTCATTTTACCATACAGAATTTAAGTAAAGTGAACCAGTGGTGGTAGATGCTTAATTAGCTCCAATACCATAGTAGCTTTTACCTGCAGTTTTGGATTGGCACTAGGTGCTAATCAGGCTTTTCCCATGTTCTGGCCTCCTGATCTTCACCAGCATCAGTGCAGTTTCCTTACTTCTTCCCACAACATCTCTGAAGTTTTGAAATCGATTGCTAGCTGCCTTCAGAAGTTAAAGGACCTACATTAAAGGACAAACTAGAAGTGCTGTATTGTGTTAGATGTTAAACCTCACTTTGCTTGGCTGGTCATAAAGAGCTGTTTTCCTCTAGTTATTCCTTTGATCCATTGTGACTTTCTAAGTATTTTCTAACACTGATGGTGGAGGAACTTGTTCTTTTGGAGATAGGTCAAATTTATTGCTGAGCCTCAGGAAATTCAGACATGGAATATAAGGTTACTTAAATTAGAGGGATAGATGTTAGGCTTTAAAAACTTTTTGTTATCTTGACAAATATTAACTCTTGCAGAATATTGAAACTCTAATTTCTTGCAATTCTTGTTTCTTATTGTACATTTAAATTATTAAATGCTCTGTATTGACTTTAGGCTTTAATTTTTTTTTTTTTGAGAGAGAGAGAGATTGGTTTAAAGAAAGACTGGCAGCTGTGGTTCTGCAGCATAATGTGCACATATAAATAGAATGCAAGCTGTCCATTTATCTCAGTCCTGATCTACTTATATTCAGCTGATGCTTATTACAATCATGGTTTGTCTCTCAGCAGACATATTCAGTTAGGATTAAGCTTGGACAACTAACCTAATTCACTCTTGTAACTTAATTCAGGTCTTCTGTGTAGATTTCTCGTGAAACTAAATAATTCTTTTAACTCCTAATCTTTCAATATCAAAATACTGAGAATGTTTATCACTGTCTATGTTTTGGGGAGCTACTGAGTTTGTTTTAAAAGCTTTTAGATTTACCAGGATATGGCTTCATTCATATCTGAGATTTCTCTCCACCCCAGCTTCTCCTTATATGTTATGGTACTTTATTAAATGTTATTTCAGTTCATAAATTCTCTAAATTACACTATGGGAGACCCTTCTAAACCTTCTAAACTTTTTGTTAGAGAGAATGTTCTGACAGAATAGCCTGAAAGTGAAACATAAGCTCACCTAGCCAATTCTAAGAAGTATCTAAAAAAAGGTTATACCTGAACTTTATCTCATCCATATTGAAAAAGGATTTTATTTAAAGAATACTAGAACATTCATGGAATGATTATTTATTTCTCAGGTTTTCAGACAGGTTTTCTCTTAGCATTATCCCTGAACAAGAGCCCTGTGGAATTTGTGGATGTAAAAATACCAAGTCCTGTGTCTTCAACGTATCAGCTACACTTTATTTTTTTGTTTAAAGCCTCTGGCTGACTGTTTACTGTTTTAGCTTAGTGACTAGCCTCTGGCATGGATTATCTCTATTAACTTGGTTTTAATTTTAAAAATCAACACAAGTAACTTGCCATAATTAAACAGCTATGTAGGGTTATAAGAAAGTTCAGGACTAGCCATAAACAGCAATCAGTGCTACCTTGTTATAGTATATGGGTGTTAAACTGCATAAAGCACATTACATTTCAGATTAGAAGTAGCTTGTGTGTTATATTTCAGTGTGTGCGAGAGGATTGTTTTGTTCAATAACATACCATGAGTCCAATTTAGCCTTCCGCTCTGAACAACATAAATGTGTGCAGAGAAAATAGGTGAAGTATGCTTTAAACTGCAACATCTAAACAACATTTTTTCTTCCTCCTCATTTAATTTCCACTGTTATTGTGATTGTGCTGATGTTGAAAGATACACAGGCAATTGTACCTTTTTTAAAAGACCATGAGATTTACCTTGTTTGTACCCTTATATATTTGTTGTTTAGAAACTGGTCCAAGAAACAGTTTTCTGAGCTCAGCATATGTTCATGTTATATGCAATTCCCCGTATAGTTTTCATAACCTTTTATATTCTTCATGCAAAACCTCTCCTGCAGCGCTCTGGGTTCTTATGGGGGATGTGGTGGCACTTCTGATACTGAAGAGCAGAAGCTCCTCCCTGCTGGAACTCCACGGGAAAAGACCTGATGAGTAGTAGATACAGATCTCACAGGTGGATTACTGAGTGATGTGTGCATGGTGGGATCTTGAAGTGCCAGGCATGAGAGGTGCCATGTTTTCTGATCTGAGAAATGCACTCTTTCCTCTAAAAAAATGGCGTTTACAATTAGGGAGAAACACCAGCACCAGTGGCAGTGGCTGATCAGCAGATACAAAGAGTAACTTGTGTTGAAGAGTGAAGAAATACAGAAGAAACACCAAAGCACTGTACAGTTAGGAGGGATACGTGGTCCTCTAATGTGAACATTTCAGCATCACAGTGAATGTGAGGCTATAAGGAAGGGCTTATAAATGATAGGATTTGGAGGAAATATCACAGCAGGGTGTTTGAAATGTTCCATAAAGACAAGGCCTCCTGGACAAACAGAGAGATGAAAGGAACAGTGAAAACACCCAAGAAATTATGAAAGTCATGGCACCTTAATTTAGTGATTCCCAAGAAAACTTGAAGTTGTTGTATTAAAATATTATGAGAGCCCTGAGAATGAAAGGAAGAATCAGGGAGAGTACGCAGTTGTAAGTCAGTGTGGCTGCTGCTGTTGTCAATGTGCAGCCCTATGCCTGCAGTCAGACCTGGAAATGAAGCATGAATAAAATAAACACTGTTTCATTGCCACAATTTTATTGATTCCATCAGGCTGTCTGCAGTCATTTAAAGATAATTGTGGAGGTGTTACCCATTCAGTGTGATGTGAAAGAGGAGATAGGTACAGTCTAGCTGGTTCTGGCAACTAATACTCAAAGAATATTGCTGTCTTTAAACTGCTATGTAATTTTCTGATACATACAGAGCACAGAAGAAATCCTTCTAATAGGAGCTTTTGTTATAGTAATGCCAACAGCAAAGGAAAATATTCAGATTATTTTCCTAGAGATAGAGGCTGCTTCTGTTTGGAAAACACTGCATTAGACCATCTGTTTCCTCTGATTGCGCACCACCATAGCCATTGTTGTGATTAATTTCTTTGCTTCTAGGCACAAATTTGAGTACTCGAAAGAAGATTAAAAGCTTGTTCTGTGAACAGGGATGTAGCTAATGGCTGGCTTTCAGTAGGATTGTGTGTACTTAACAACTTTACAACTCAAGTCATCAGTCTTCTGCTTGTAGTTGATATATGAAAGAAAGCAAGGAGAATGTCCTTTGCTTTATTGTAATAATCGTAATAGTCACAAATTGTTGATGAGGTTTCCACAGTGTGCCACAAGCATCACCACACACTCAAAACACCACTTGGACAAAGAGTCACTTTTCACAGAATCATAGAATCATTTGGGTTGGAAAAGACCTTTAAGATCATCAAGTCCCGCCTTTAACCTACCACTGGCAAGTCCACCACTAAAACATGTCCCTAAGTGCCACATCTATACATCTTTTAAATACCTCCAGGGTTGGTGACTCCACCTTCCCTGGGCAGCCTGTTCCAATGTTTGACAACCCTTTCAGTGAAGAAGTTTTTCCTAATATCCAGTCTAAACCTCCCCTAGCACAAATTGAGGTAATTTCCTCTCATCTAGTCTACCTCAAGCTGGTGGCTTGGCTGCTGGAAGATGTGTGGTTTCATCAGCATCCCACCCATTTGTCAGACTGGATCCTTTGGTCATGAGGCTGGTGTGGCCCAAAAGCCCCAAACAAGTAGTAGCTTGCTAGGCAGGAGGAAAGCTCTGATGGCTGGCAATCTGCCACAGGTCAGCAGCAAGGAACAGGCTGCAGTGTTGTCTCTGTGGGTGCTACTGTTGTCCTATTTCAAACCAGAACTGCTGCTTTGTGTCCCCCAGTGATGAGCAGCACAAACAAAATGTGGAGTTTTGTCTAATATGGACACTGCATGTTACTTCAGTTCCTCTTTTGCTTGAATCCTCAGTATACAGTACAGTGGCAATGTGTATACAGTAATGTGGCAATGGTTTTCCACCATTAGGCTGTTCCCTTCCTTCCTTTTAATTCCTGTATTACTTACATAACCTTGGTAGGCCTTTGATTCAGGATGAATCAGTATGCAGTGGTCCACCTGCATAGTACAATGATTTTGGAAAACAAATGGTATTTGTATGAAATGCATCAATTCTTATTTATTTCGATACTTTCCTTGATCATCACATTTCAAGATTGTCACATTTGCCTGTGATTGCATGTTTTAAGTTGAGCATTTTGCAGCTAAACTTGTAATGATTCTCCTCTGTTAACAAGGTATATTCAAACTTGTATTTGGAAATCAGTTATTTAATATTTACATCAGTGTGACTTACCTGCTTTCAGTGTAATAATTGGTACACCATATTTCAAAACATTTCTTCATTTTGATGTCTGTAATGGTGTATATTGGGGTTGTGGCTGATCTGTGGCCTTACAGGACATAGTTAAACAGAACTGAGAGGAAAATGTTGACTGCCAAGTAAAGCAGCATTATCAGTTTCCTCTCTCCTGCATTGAAAGAGACGGGGAACAGACAGTGTAGGGTTTCCTGATATGTTTTAAGAAAGCCTGGGATTCATTTCCCCTCCCTTCCTTCCTATTAGTAGTTTGTTAACTCCCAGGAAGATTCAGGTTTTTCTTTGCAAGACCTTTCTGCTTGCATATTCTGGAAACAGATTTGCCTTTGAGGAGCTCGATCCTCACTTCCGTAAAAGTGCAGGGGGAAGAAGAGGAGATGGATTGATGGTGAGAGTCTGACTTAGCACAAACAAACTGTGGAGGAGTTTCTAATGGAAAACACTGTAGTCAAAACAGTATTTTCTTCTAATTTGCTGGCATCAGCATAGCCCTGGCCCCTGAGGAATACAGGATCCTTTAGACTCAGAAGTAGGAAATGCAGCAAGTGAGATTCTGCCTTCGGAGCGCCAAGTTGTGAACTCCTGAGCAAGATCGTAAACTTATAAGACAGACATTCAACTTTCCCTTCTTCAGGAGAAACCTCGGATATCTCTTTGCAGCAACTGATCATCCCTCGCATTAAGGAGAAGGATGCAAACATGGAGGTGTAACCAGCTACTTGGGATGAGCAGTGGCTTTGTAGTGCCGTGCATGGCTGGAGTGCACTAACAAACTGGATGTTCTGTGGGGGCTTTTTTTTTCTTCACCAGGAGCAGCACAGGACTGCCAGTTTGGCTACACTAATTTTGGATGAAACATTGAAAACCAGATGGTTTCATGCTTTTTTTTTTAAAAAAAAAAACAACCTTCATTTGCCATGTCTGATCTGCCTACATGAGAAGCCATGCCTCGTTTATTCATACTAGTCACACCGAAAGCAGGCTGAAAGCTGTGGCAAGATGTCCCGTCGTCTGCTGGGTGCAGAATGCTAGAAACTAAGAGGGTCTTACAGCTTCCTGTAGAAACTACTTCAGCATTTTCAGTCCGCTAACAACCACTGATTTTTCTTTTTTTCTGTCTAGTAAAACCTAGGTATTGGTTTCTGAGGGAAAGCACATACAGTACAAATAACCTCATTGCACCTATTTCCAGCTCTTTAAATCTGTACCCTATTTTTATCTCTTTTGGTAGCGTTTGAATTTCACAAATTTTATGTTCCATTGACATTTAAAAACAAAATCAGAGTATCTTTCAGTGTGTTGGAAGAGTGTAATTCTGAAGAGCTGGTTTTTTTGTTTCCTTTGGTGAAGATACAGGGATACGCATCCATGTCTCAACGTCGCCTTTTAAGGGAAGGACATGAAAGTCATTTTAGGACCCTACCAAGATTCATCCAAATCTTCCATGGCAGACGACACTCACGAAATAACCCAAGACAAATATGCTCTGGTGAGGTTAATGTATAGGTGATACTATAGTGTGATTTATATCTACGTAGCATGCTGCACTTAAATTTAAGCCTAGTATTTGTGTTACTGATTTTCTCAGCTGATGTAAATTGCAGGAATGAGTATTTTTTCTCAAAGCACACTCATGTAGGGATTGGCAACCATTACAGTTAAAAAAATATATATCTTTGTCCTTATTAGGTATTATTTGTGGATAATTATTACTTTCTGTCACTAGTACTAACTGGAGAAAACCACGCTATCTTGTTTTTCCTCACAGTTCAGGTGTATGATCTGACACAGATTTGAATGCTTTACAGCAACCATCCTTTGAAACTCTAGAAGAACTTCACTGAGTGCTCAGCTCTTAAAAAACTTGACTAATTACACCAAAAAATGTTTTAAACTGTTCTCAAAAAATCAGGAAGCCTCTGATCTGTAAGTGTAATGTACTAAATTTACTTTTCAATCTCAAAGTTTGTTTCACATAGTGTGTGGTGTAATAATATGTTAGTATGACTGATAATTATATGTTTTTTGTGTTTAGTAAAGCTACATATTGTTAGGATTTTTTTCTGAAATAGGTTAACCCTAACTGGCTGATATAAGGTTAGATTTTTCAATAATTAATTAGTCCTTTCTTGGTTTTATGCACAATGACTTGGTATGTTTTTTCTAAAAAGAAAAAAATAGGAAGGAAAAAAAATGCCTGTCTGGTGATCTCTTTTGCTCATGCCTTCTTTTGTACTGTGCTCACTGAGTCTTTTGCTATCTATTTTGCTTGAAATGAAAATGCAAGGGTTTTTTTAATAACCTGTCTTTTTTTTTTCCATAACCTGTAAAATGTGAAGTTTTCATGGAAAATGTGAAGTGCCTGACTTACCAGTTCTGAGCATTCATGAAGTCAAGGTTTGGTACCTTGAGGAATGCTAACTAATAAGTTATCAAAATTTAACAATGAATTCTATTCAGCTCAGATGAGAGAAAGTTTTCATGTTAATTACTGTTAACCACAGTAAAGAAAAATCAGGAAAAAATAGTAATATTTTAAATACATGGAATGCAGTCTTACAAAGCAAAGCAAAACAAGGCCTCCTCAAATTTCAGTCTTCCCTTCTTGTAGGATTCGGCCATCTCTTGATAGTAATCACAGTGCAGTCAGGTTCAAAGTGCAACCATAAAAGTTACCACTTGTACCAATTATTTTGTAACATATATATACTTAAACGTTTTGAGTGCCTTCTGGCCATTCATGAGTGGATTAGAGCTAATTTCAAGTATAGGCAAAACCCTGACTGCATAGGTGAACACCACAGATTTAATATATTGAACACGTTCTAACACAGATAGTTTTCCTCATTTTAGCCTAATTTCCTTCAGACTCAGATCCTTAATATAAATCTTATAATTCTGTACAACCATCTCTTACTTACAGGTTCCTTTCACTATATGTAGGTGTGTATAGTCAGAAAACTGTATGTTTCTGTCGGAAGCTGTCTGTCTTCTCTCCCACCCATCTTTATTATTCCTAAACTCCTTTTGATTGTGTTGCAGCCTTTCCTTTTTGAAGTCTTCAAGTATGCAAAAATTCTGTTTCCTTTTCTTCCTGTTACCCATTTTATGTTGACAGTAGGAATGCAATTATATGCTTCTAATGTTAACCGTATATATCCAGTGAGAATTATTCCATTGTTTCGGTCAAAGGCATTTTCTGGCCTTTTGGACTGAAGTTTTCCCACCTTCCTGGTAGCAGACCTTGGTTAGCATTCAGTGGCACTTCCAGACCAAGTAGTACACAAAAGGTGGATCAAGGGTTTGTATTGTGGAAGGGGAAAGGTACTGCAGCCTGGGAACATTTCTGTCCTGTAGCTATGCTGAGTAAAACTACAATTTTGGCAAGTATGTATTTCTAAAGTAAATGTGTTTGTGATTCTGTAAATCCCATGATGCATGCATCTCTCTTCTTGTGACAAACCTAAGCCACTCTGTCCTGTTGTCCCAGGTCTTACAGAGCTTTGTTCTCTCTTCATTAGCATCTCTGGAAATTGCCAAGAGCAAGTTTGCACACTGTCACATCACCCTTTCCCTGCATGTGAAGATATTTAATATTGGATATAGAAATCTTTACGTGAACAGGTACCAGTGCTGTCTGGTCCCTCCTGCCTGGGCAGGCAGGGCTCAGGCTGGTACCCCAGGCTCATGTGAGGCAGCATCATGGTCTCTGCATCCATTCCTGACCATAGTACTTCTGTGTGCTTCTGCATCTCCAACTGCAGGCGCGTGGGACGGCACTTGTACAGTTTGTGATGGATTTTAGCCCTCAAAAGCTGTGGCTTAAGCTGTCTTCTGTGAGGGCACCTGTCCTCCCATCAGCAGGGGAGATTTCCCAGGCTCCTGACCTGCTGTGGCCCTTTGTGATGGGCTTCCTGGCATGGTTCTCACAGACCATCCTTTCAGATTCTCCCTCTTCTCACTTTGCCTAAGCAAACAGGAACAGTAGGTCAGCTTGAACCCAAAGCTGCAAAACAAGTTTGGCAAGTGGAGACTTCAGAGACATCCGTCTTCAGTCTGTGCTGTGCTTAGCATGGACAGGGAGTATCTTTGGAGGCATCCTATAGTCTTCATCTTTTCACACAGGATTCAGGTTGGTTTTCTGATGAAGATGACTAAAGGTCTGTAGTGGTTTGCTTTCGCATGTATGCTGTAGGCATGTAATGAATTGGTAGATGAGGAGATTGTCTATGTCCCAGGGTTCTTCAGATCCAACCCAGAGAAGTTCTGTGACAAGGTACAGTGAGGCAGCACTCTAATGTGGGTGTCTAATACTGGTAGACTTCTGTAGTGAAATAATCAGATAAAACTTGGTTAATCCTCAACCGGGGTAATCCAATACAAATTGTAGAGAGGGGTCTAGAGGAAGAGCATTCTTGAATTTTCTGTGTCTGCTAAGGGCGTGGTGTGGTTCATCTTCTCTTAGAGTTCTATGAGTATTTCTGTCGGATATTGGGCATTCTTGTATGGGGACAGGGTGCTAGCTTACAGGCTGGATAGCAGAATATATGGATGCAGGAAATGTCAGACTGAGCACATGAATATAGCAGACATACTTAACTAGCTGAAGGCTTCAGCATAGCAAAAGCCTGCCTGGAGCCTGTGTAAATGCTGAGATTACTGATCAGTGTTAAAGTCTGCCACTACAACTTTATTACTGTTAGTTCCCATTCCAGATAAATCTAGGCGTGTAAGGCTGTGTTTATTGTTTTGCTGTATTCACACCTTTGTTTGCTGGCTGGATAAACATGTTGAAAAGGGATTTATTTGAGATTTCCACTCTTGAGACTTCCATTACCTGGAAATGACCTTGCACTTTTTCTAGTAGAAAGTTGAAGAGAGTTGGGTGTGAATCCATAGCAGAGGTGATAAACTGCACCAAAACATTAAACTTGTGAGTGAGCAATTCAGTACAACTGGCTCCAGATAGTGTTGTGAATATCTGCATGAAAAACAGTTTTGCTTTGCCTTGTTAAAGCCTAACATGAGTGAGTATATGCTTAGGGCTTCAGCCTATAGCCTGGATATACTGTATCAGACACTGGATATATCAGCAGTCTGTAAATATTCAGGGTGGTGACATGAGGGGAAAACACTATAATTAAAGAGATAATTACAAGAACAGTGGCATTACTGGAGGAAAATACATTTGTAAAGTCATCTTGTGCCACCTGTTGCATTTATGGAACAAAGTTCAATTAACGTGAAAGCTCTTACCTTCGTGGGCTAGTTTGTTCTGAGCGGAGGAAGGGAAAAGTGGACATTTTTCTTCTGATGATGAATCATAGAGGAATTTCTGTAGCTGAAATGAAGAGCTATTATTTTTTCTCAGAATGGTGTTCATGGCTGGGTTTTGTGGCACAGGGTAAGTTGGTTTAACTTTATGACCCCTAGATCTTGTAAATGTAAACAGACTTGTACAGTCTGCTAAGTCAAGAGTGTATAAGGTGTGTGGCTGGGGACTGTGTTCTTGGAAGCATTCTGAACTCCATGTTTTATATGTGCCAAAAAAGCACGTATTTCAAGAGTCAGTGTCAATTTTGCTAGCTCATTGATTCTTGAAAATACACTCTGTTCACAGATCACGTGTTAGTGGAAGAGGCTGAATAGTGGGTGGTAGAATTTGGATTTTATTTTAAATCCTCTTTTCCAAAGGAAGTAAAGTATTAGATATTTTAGGATCTATTTTTTCATATATGTTTTTTACAGAACTTTCTTTCCTTTCAAATAGCACCCCTCCAAACTTGTTACCATGTCATATCTGTGATGTACTTAAATGGTTTATTTGGCTCAGACAAGTTACTCAGTGAAAAGTGAGCACATCAGCAAAACCAGTCACAGCTGACATCCTTCCAAAGCCAGAAAAGTTCATAGGCAGTACATCCATCAAGAGGGAGCTACTGATACAGAAATCAGTTTCACAGCATTATCACACGATTTTATAGGGCAGTTTCTGCTGCTGGAATGTGTTTAGTATGTTTTCTAATAAAGAGGCTGTTACTTTCAGAGGTACCAGTTCTGATAACATGGCAAATTTTAAATTCCTTAAGTGTCTGTACTGACTTGTCCTATAAAACAGAGGGACCCCAGCCTCCTTTTCTAACCTCTTTTTTCCTGAAATTTTAAATACATCCTGTTTAGGTTTTTTTTAAATAATTTTAAAATCTTTATTCTTTGTGTTAAAAAGTAAAAGTGAAGGACATGTATGGTTTGAGAGATGTATTTTACAATTGTGTGAAGATGCATACTGTGATGGGAAGTAGAAATATCTAAAATAGATGACATTATCAGCAGATTTCTGAGAGTGGTCCCTTTCAAGATCCCTGAAATTGCTTATTATTTCCCATTTCTTGTGTTAAGAAGTTATTTTAATTCCTTTTTAAACAACATAAAATTCTAATATGCTAAATTAAAATGTTATAAAAGTCATTATTTAAAAAATTTGGTGAC